TGGGACCGGCTGGAACCGGCTGTGTCCGGCACGGGGCAGCCCCGGCCTCTCCTCACACAGGCCGCCCTGCAGCCACGCTGCCGGCACCTGGGCACGGACAGCCTGCACGGTCCTCTCCATAGTAATGTTGGGAGACGGTCAGTTAGAGGGTGACTAACTTGTGCACTATCTAGTTAGAGGTAAGTGTGTGGGTGATAATGTTCTAATTGGTTCAATCAGACTTTTTGTCAACTCACAAGCCATCTGTTTCTGCAGAAGTATTGGAGTTTTATTTAACACTCGCCCACACAGTGTGGATTCAGTAGTGGGCAGGTGAATGAGATCATTAGTCTGAACAAAATGACTAAGATTCTGCCTAGCTTTTTTGCATGGTTTCATAGCCTTCATTCATTGTTGGCAGTGGGTAATAGTTTGTCAAAATGCAGTGGGTAACAAGTTAAATCAGTATTAACAGCCATTGTTTTTGCCATATAAGTATTTACTAATATAGTGGTCAGCAGTGAGAGAACAGATGATGATCTGTAGTCCTGCCATAGGATAATAAAATGTTTTATTCAGAATTCTGGTTTGATGCATATTGAGATAACAGTTCTTGCCTAGATCAAGAGCGTGACTCATGAACATTGTAGAACCAAGGCTGGGTACAGTAAGGAAGATGAATATTAATCAGTAATCCAATCAATGTGGTTTTGTCTTATTTCAGCAGAATAGGCCCTCCATCCTCTCCTACAGGAGGAGAGAAAGAGGAAAATCCTGCTCTGCTGGCTGAGAATTGTTTCAGGGAACTACTAGGACGAGCAACCTATGGAAATATGAATAATGCTGTCAGACCAGTTTTCGCGTAAGTTGAAAATTCATAGAAGGTCTTTCTTAAAGAGATTTTTTTAATTTCATCCTCTAATTATGTTGCATTAAATTCTGTCCTCCTTTTCAACCCGAAGGATTCCATTCATGTTTCTTCAAATAATTGCCTCTCTTTTAATCTCACCTCTTTGTTGCCTGTCTGCTAACTTGAAGATAGTTATGGAGAAATATGTATCCCATTTTACTGATTTTAGAAGTGCGATATAATGATTTGGATGGGTTATTGGCTCAGCTGGCCTTTCTTTTGAATGTGAAACTGTTATTTCAAGATATTAATGTCCCATAGATGACTGTTGCAGTCAGTGAAGAGACAAGCCGAGTAAAATACAAGTAGCTGAAAGGAATACTGTGCCTAGATTAATACATAAAGTTAAGATTTATACTTTCTTGCAGTTTTCTTCCAAGACCTGTTTTGATACTCTGTGAGGAATATCTTTAACAGCTCATTAAGTAGTGAATGGCAGATGTGCACACAGTACACACATCATGCACAAATGCACACAGTACAAATTATAGCTAATGTATTAACTCTCAAGTCCAGCATTATTTAGTTCTCTGCATTGCCCCAGTTGCTTCCTTAAAAAAATATGATGTGAAAAAAGCTATAAGCATTGAGATAACTTATATCTGCTTCTTTCACCTCTGCTAGTGTCTACAAAGTAGGCATGTTCTCAGGAGAAACCTCTGCAGGAAGCAGTAGACTCGGTGATACTGCTTTCAAACTCTGGCTTTTCCTGCTGATCAGGAGACCTGCTTGCTCTTTGTAGATTTTCAAGATACCCACCTGTTATGGGAATATCTTATCTTAGATAGCCTAGTTCCTCCCACAAAGACTAAGTATTCCATTCATATACTAAAAGACTTTTCAAGTTACATAAAGCCATTTTCAAGTTACTACTGTTAAGTAAGAACAGAAATGCAAAAGGAAGATAGGGTAGGTATTGAGGGCAGAAAACTTTTGTAGCCCTTTTTTTTTTCACATTAAATGCAAAGAACTGTGCTATTATCTCACTTGCCATGTGTACCTATTATACCAATCTGATAGGAGTTTAACTGTTGCAAAGTTGAGTGTTTTATTAAAAAATTCTCATTCTTTCCGACAATTAAAATTTGCATTCCTCCAAAATAACTGCCACTAGAGTAACGTTTAGGTACTAAACAGTCTGGGTGGACTATTTTGAACTATATTGCAGCTGCTTTCCTGCCACTTTTAAGTTCCTTTTATGGGTTTATCTCGAAACTTTATCAGCATGTGCGTTACTTCAGTCTTTTGAATCATTTCAGTATCAGGGAAGTTTCCCACAAATAATTCCTGATTCCCTAGACTAGAGTTAGTACTTGGTTTGGTGTTCGAGAAGATGTCATACCTGCATTTCCTGTGGCAAATCCAAAGCTTTGGAAGTGTTCTTTCCAGCTTAATTTCTTTTCTTGCTTGCTGTGATCCTAAGGAACTGCTTGAGTCTTTGTGCATCTCTACATGGCACATGCGGCATTTGTGCGCTGAAATCAGTAGATAATGACCAGTTACTGAGAATATATTATCTCTTCTATGAATAGAGGGTCTTTGTGGTCACCATTTTTGTGTTCCATTTTGAGGAAGAATTGCCAAATAAATTTATCTTTTTATAAATAACTGCTGTAAAAGTTTAGGTTTTTTTAAGAACAAGAGATTCAGAAAATGCAATTTTCAAACTGTTTTTCCTAAATAAAAAGGGAGTGCTCTATCTAATCAGTTTTACTTTGTGAATGAGCAGAACTGGTAGAATGAAAGTTTGAGATAGTGAGTCCATTGCACTTTATCTGTTTGAAAAACCTAAATTAGTTTATGTATACTTGATTAGAAAACAGTTTCTCCTAACAGTTTTCAACAATTTCACAGCTTTTAAGAAAGCTCTGGAAATAAAGATAAGGCCGCTTATTACAGTGCTAACACTGAAGATGCAAGTTCAGTTCCCCGCTTGAAGGCTTGTTTCATGTGGCATTGGAATATCAGTCAACATGCTATCACTTCCTTGCAAAACTGAGAGAATAGTGCTGCTTGCATCATGAGGCTGAGTACATTCAATGATTGAGGGTTTTAAATATAATGAAGATAGTTGAAATCTGAAGTTGGTCTCCTGGTATGGGTTTGGATTGACCTTAATTCTCCTTGCCTTTGGCAGAAAATCTCCATGGTTATAACTGTCTACATTTAGCAGCTAGAAACTCTCAAATTCCCATTTTTAATGAAATCTGACAAATCAATCTGGCAAACTGGTTAATGAAAGTAAAAAAAATATTATATTAATATGATATGAAAAAAAAATTTATTTTGTGTCAACAGTCACAAGCTATTTAGACTTATTTAGCATGAATTTGCAGTGGTGAATAGATGAGGCAGATCCAGAGGGATACAGAAACCTAGTGAATATAAACAACTTCCCAAGTATAACAAGTTACACCCTATTCATCTCACTGTATTTCCATTATTGTGAATTATCACATCATCTGTGCAAGGGGTTTGAATATCAAAAGACTGGTGTTTAATATTCTTTCAGAAAATGTAATGCATGAGAAAATTATTTTATGTATTCCCATACATGCCTCAGTTCTGCTTTCTGAACATCTGTATCAGTTTATCGTTTTGTACTAGAAGGATTGCTTGAATACGTGACAATGTGAGTGAATTCAGGGACTGTTAGTGGCTCTCACTCCATAATGTAGTAACTTGTACCATTGGTTCTGCTGTTCCTTTTAATTTGAGAAACCTAATTGTGCACATTTGCTACATACATGCAGCAGATCTTAATGGAAGGCAGATTATGGCATTTTTTAATCCAGCAATAAATTATATTCTTTATTAAAAGAAATGTAATTGGAAAAAAAAAATGGGCAAGATGTGACTTGATTTTAACTAAACTAAATCCACCATGCTGAAATACCATTTACTGTCTTTTACAAAAACAAAACTACATTGAATACACTGCCTGCATTATGACGAGTAAAATATATCACCTACAGTAATCTAATACCTCTTTTCTTAGGAAGAAAATTCCAGTATACGACGTATGCTGCCCGTTGAGCTATTACACAAAACATTAACCTAGGCTGTCATCTTCCCCCTGCTGTCTTCCCATCAGTTCAGCTACCTGAAGCAGCTAATACTTTGCTTTTCTGGAAAAAGAAAACTGTATGTCTTGCTTTGAGAGGAAAGGTTTTTAAGATGTAGTTGACCATAATCTGCCTGAATGGATCTTTGGGGCAGATAAAGAGGAACTGTCAAGGGTAACAGAGAACACATGCTACCCTGAAAGATTAAAGGATCAGTTCCAATTGGGAGAAGATAGTGAAGAGTATGATTTTGTATTTGATGGACCGTACTGGAATGATATTAGGGAGAAAGAAGACAGGATTAAATATATTATGAGCCGCTAAGACTTGAAGCATTTAAAGAGGTAATTTTGTTTGTCTTTCTACCCCAAGTCAGGATTAAATACAGCTGTGTGTTTGGAATGTGCATAAGAAAGGCAGCTATCCCCAACAGGTAATCCAGTTTAATGTTTAGTAATGCAAATATGCTGTTATCTTGACAGACAAACACCTCTAAAATTCCTGAAATTCTTTCCTGTAGGGATTTCTATTAAAGGTATGTCATGTGTCAAAATGGCAGTATGTTTTTTTTAAGCTCCGCAATGCACTGCAAGATAATTTAGGGCACAGGAAAAGGTAGCTTTATGCCAGCTGGTTTAATCAACCTTGAAGGAGACCTGTGTACTCAGCTAGGTCACTAGGCTGGTAGCAGCTGGCCAGTGAGTTAATTGAGACCTCCAGATTCCAGGCAAAGTAAGTTAAAGCATCCAGTCGGTCCTTCTGTGTCCAGAGTACTGACTTCTTTCACCTGTATGCTTTCAAGTTTGTTATTTGAAGCATCTTTATATGTTTCTTACGTTCTTTGGGAAAGGGCAGACCGATATTGATTCTGTAGCTGAGATACCTACTTAGAAACTCTACCTAAATTCAGTTTCTGTAAAAGTTTTTTGTTAGTTTTGGCGGGGTGGGGGGTGTTGTTTGTTTGTTTGGGGGGGGGGGTGGGGTTTGTTGTTGGTTGTTTTTGTTTTTTTTAACCTAAATCATATCAATGTAAAGGCATTCAAAATTACTTTTTTCAGTCTTCTAGATTTAAAATTGCATTTATTTTTGTCATGCTTTTCCAGATACTCAGATCTCCTTTTTGGAAAATTTGATGTGTGCCCTATTCACAGCTTTCGGCATAGTGCTTAAGCAGAATTTCTTGTCTTTGCTTGAAACTCTGACAAAGTTTTTCATTGGTGGTTCCTATCCCATTTAAAGAGAAACTGATGCATTTATTGTTCTGGTTCTGTTTTGATATTTCTTGCAGGAAGTGTTGAAATGCTTCAGTGATAAGGGAGTATATACACAAAGAGTAGCTCTTTTTTGTTTTCCATATATATTATTCATGAAGCCACTGTGAAAACAAAAATAGTTCTTAAGAGTCTCTATTCTGGATGTAACATTCAGCCATGATTATTTTGTAGCTCGTCATTCAAACCAAATTATTCATCTTATTTAGAGTAGAAGTTTGTCAAGGTATTATAACCATCCTCTTCAGTGTGTCTCTTTCGTGAAAATAAGCATATAATGCCACCGCCACTTTTATGCATGCACTTTGCATAGAAACAGTATATTCTTAACTGTATATCCTTGGTATGACTAGTTTCCTTAAATTCCTGAAACTAGAGAATTGGGAATTTCTGTTGTAGCCAAATGTTTTGTGATCGCATCCTAAACCTTGAAAACAAATGCTTTTCTGAAGTTCTAGTTTTCTCACCTAGTTAATAAGTCATTGTTTAGAACCTTTATGTAAGAAAATAATCCCTTTGGGGTGAATTTTGAGAAAACTTTAAGATGCCATTTTTTATATGTGTGTTATGTCATTATTTCTGGTCCCTTAAATTTTGGTTACAGGCATTTAGACCATCATAGACTATGGGATCCCAATGAATTTGCTGTTTCCTGCTTCAAAATCATCATGTATTCTATACAGGTAGGGTTTTCTTTAGTGTTTTTTTTTCCTTGCATACATATTTCAAGCACATGAGACAGGTTTAAATGTTCACCTCACCACAATAGTGATAGACAGTAGATGAAGTCAAAGAATCCAGAAGATCCCGTTTCATAACTCCTTAGGCTTGCTTATTCTTCAAACTTTTCAAATAATAACCTAAGCGTAGTTTGTAATCAGAAGTTATCTGATTTACTTTCAATTACTGTACACTTGTAGAAGAAAAAAAGATATTAAGGAATTCTCAATGGAAGGTAGTGCAGAGGTCTTTCAGCAAGCTCAACAAGGAGCAGGATAGCTGAACTGATCGGACATTGTGCTTGATAAAAATAATCTCTCACGTTAGTAATTTCTCCGTGCCTATACAGCTGTACTGCTTTTACAACCCAGGAAACCAACTTCACATGGAACTGTGTTTTGCTAATTGATTTTTACTAGTGGGCAACCTCTGTTGTCTGTTGTAAACATGATCAAAGTCTGATTCTTGGATTGCATCAAGCAGAGACACCCAAAAGATAAAGTCGTAGAATTCCAGGTTTGTGGGAGAAAGCTGAGTTTTCTTAGCGTTTGTATCAGTTACGCTTTTTTGTAAGGCCAGTGGAAGTCCTTGGACTGCAGTTAGCTGAATGAAGTACCACTTCATGCTTCCTCTGTGCTTGTAGATATTCCTGGATATTTTAATGTTGTAAGCTTTTGTATATGGTGCTGCATGGACCTGTGTGGCTTCGTCTGTCATGGTAGTTTTTAAAATCCATATTTAATCATTAATTGATTGAAATTTAATTGAATTTGTGTAGTAAGAATATTGCAGAATAGAAACATGGTCATGACTATAGCTGTGTGGTGTATGAAGTCATTCTTATTAACGTCACAGATGAAGCTTTTCTTTCTGTTTGTTTGGATTTCAATAGGCACAATATTCCCATCATGTAATACAAGAAATTCTTGGACACCTTGATGTTCGCAAAAGAGACTCACCACGAGTTCGTGCTGGTATTATTCAGGTTCTTTTGGAAGCAGTTGCAATCGCAGCTAAAGGATCAATAGGTAAGTCATCTTTAATTAAAGGCATCAGGTGAAAGGATAGATTTGAAGGGTGGTGTTCATTTTTGCTTTGTTTTCAGACTGAATGAAAGCATATATTTTGAGAATGTTTTGTATTTATTATTTTTTTTCTCCTTTGTGCTGATAAAATACTTGAAGTCTTACTTGGTTTACAATTACTCAAATGTACTTACTTAGTCGTTTGACTTTTATAATCCTTTGCATTGAAAAAATGAGTAGATGCATTTTTACAGCCTTGTGAAAGGCAGGAATTCCTCTTTGGTAAGAAGTCACAAAATCTGAGAGAACTGTGTGTGTCTCTACAAAATGTAAAGAGCACTGTCGCTTTGTGATACAGCTGCTGTGAGATGAGTGATAATATGGGAGTCAAGAGCAGAATGATCTTTGAGGAATTATACCTTAGTAACTATGAAGCAGCTGAAATAAGGTGAATTATGTCATTTATGGTAGCATAGTTCCTTGAAATAAGAGTAGTTATGAAGATGTGTACACACATGTGCTCTGCTGCTGTTTTGCTTTGGTCTCTTGCTGAAACATTATTGCTTTGTTTCATTAGCTTGATTCTGTGCCTGTCCTTTCTCTTTAGGCAAGACAGTTGCATGCACAGCCTTGTGAAGTCTTCTACCATATTATGAAAAGAGCTCATTATTTGATCCAATATATAGAACTGGATTTTAGTAGCAGGTTTTGAAATAAGTTTGGGTGCAGTTTAACCCATTGTTGATGCTTCATTTCAGCAACCGCTCATTTTCTGTATAAAACTTGCATGGTGGGTTGACTGTGGCCAACAGCCATTTGCTCACTCCCCTTTCCCACAGGTCAGGGAGAAGGTAGAAAGAAGGTGAGAAGTCTCATGGATCAAGATAAAGACAAATTAATGGGTGAAGCAAAAGCTCATGCACAAGGAAAGCAAAGGAATGTATTCAGTACTTCCCATTGACAGGCAGATGTTTAGCCACTTCCTGGAAAGCAGGGCCTCAGCATGCATAATGGTTACTTGGAAGACAAATGCCATATGAACAAATGTTCACCTGATTCCTCCTCCTTTCCTTGAGCTTTTATTGCTGAGCATGACATTATATGGTATGGAATAGCCCTTTGGTCAGTTTGGGTCAGCTGGCCCAGTCTGTGTGTCCTCCCAGTTTCTTGCACACCCCAGCCTGCTCTCTGTAGGGATGAAGTGTGAAAAAGACTTGACACTTCCTAGCACTGTTCAGCAACAGCCAAAACACTGGTGTGTTGTCAACACTATTTTAGTCACAGATTCAAAGCACAGCACCGCTGAGGCTGCTAGGAAGAAAGTTAACTCCATCCCAGCCAGACCCACTACAACTTGGTAGTAATGGATTATGTGTATATACCCGATTGCATTTCCTGATTCCAAAATAATCTGTAAAATGTCAAGGTATAGGCACATTTCAAAAGTTTATCCCTAGGCCATATCCCTCAAACAGTGAATTTTATTTGTACTTTTCAGCTTCATCTGATTTCTTCTGAAAAGGGATTGAAAAGGTTAGTTTACATTTTGTTAAGGCATCTTTCCATTGACAGGTGCAGTCATTGTTATGTGTTGTTTCCAGGTCCAACAGTTCTGGAGGTTTTTAATACCTTGTTGAAGCACTTGCGCATCAGTGTTGACTTTGAGCTGGGTGATAGGCGCAGTTCAGCAGGAAGTGCCACTATCAGCACAAGCTCCAAGGAGAGTGATGAGAGGATTGTCCAGAATGCTATTATTCAAACAATTGGTGAGTAATGACAGTAACATAGCCTCACTTAAAATTCCTTCCCTTCTCCCCCTTCCTCAATGAAATGGTATTAAAACAGCTTGAATCAAAAAGCAGTAATGGCAAGTGTGGTGTCTCTGATTGTACTTGCCTCTAAATCTCAGGCTCACTTTATGTATTTGACTTCTGAAAGACTGTTCTTTTAATTGTTAACTGAACAGATAGCCAAGAAGCTCAATGAAAATTAAAAATACTGGTGGACTTATAATAAATTTGTTGGTTATATTATTGTATGGCCCTTGAAATATAGGCATCATTCTATGCCTTTGGTACAGAGCTAATACTAGTCCTTTTATGAAAAATCATATTGCAAGCAATCATATGCAGTAATATATTTTAGTAGGTACTACTTGAAACTTTGTAGAAACCAATCTTAAACATAGTGGCAACAATGACATCTAATGGCCGGTTGTGCTACCACAACTTAACTGAAATACTTCTAAGCACAGTACTGAAAATGAGAGCAGCAATTTCTGTAAATGATTTTGTTAAAATAGCCTCTCCCCTTTTTTTCAGATTTTCTTTTTATGGTGCTGATATTGTATATTGGAGTTCATTTATGATGCGTATTCCTTACTTGAAGAACAAGGGGGAACGTAACTTAAATGTTGTTCACTAATCTGTACTTTTGCTTACGCCCTGAAGCTTTCTAGAGCAGTAGCAAATATGTAGTAGATTATTTCTCGCCATTCCAGTAAAACTCCAAGTTAAAATGTTCCCCCACCACCACCAAAAACAAAACAAAACACAGCCTTTTAAAGGAAAGCTTATTTTTATCAATGTTACGTTTATACTATTGCACAGCTATAGAATAGAATATCTCAAGCTGGAAGGGACCCATCAGGATCATCAAGTCTGACTCCCTGCTCCTTGATGGACTACCTAACACTAAACCATATGACTAAGAGCGTCATCCAGACAATCCCTGAACTCTGACAGGCTTGGTGCCATGACCACTTGCCTGGGGAGCCTGTTGCAGTGACTGACCACCCTCTCAGTGAAGAACATTTTCCTAAGGTCCAGCCTGAACTTCCCCTGATGCAGCTTCATTCCATTTCCTTGTGTCCTATTGCTGGTCACCAGAGAGAGGAAGGAGATCAGCACGTCCCCCTCCGCTGCCCCCCTTGAGGAAGTTGCAGACTGCAATGAGGTCACCCCTCAGCCTTCTCTTCTCCAAGATGAACAAACTAAGTGACCTCAGCTGCTCCTCATAAGTCTTGTCCTTGAGACCTTTCACCATCTTGGTTGCCCTGCTTTGGACACGCTCTAATAGTTCAGCTGCCAGAGCATGCTGTTGACTCATATTCAACTTGCTATCAACCCAGACCCCCAGATCTCTTTCTGCGGGGCTACTCTCCATCCTCTCATCCCCCAGTTTGTATGTATAACCAGGATTACCCTGTCCCAGATGGAGAATCTGGCACTTGCTCTTGTTAAATTTCGTACGGTTGGCGATTGCCCGGCTCTCTAGTCTTTCCAGATCTCTCTGTAAAGCCTCTCTACCCTTGAGGGGGTCCACAGCTCCTCCTGGTTTAAGTATTGTCAGCAAACTTACTTAATGTACATTCGATTCCTGTGTCCAGTTCATTTATAAAAACATTAGAGAGCACTGGCCCTAAAATCGAGCCCTGGGGAATCCCACTGGTGACTGGCCACCAGCCTGATATAACCCCATTTACTAAAACTCTTTGAGCCCGACCCATCAGCCAGTTGCTCACCCAACGTGTTATGGACTTGTCTAGCCGTGTGCTGGACATTTTGTACAGCAGGATACTGTGAGAGACAGTATCAAAAGCTTTGCTAAAATCCAAAACTACCACATCCACTGGCTTCCCTTGGTCAACTAGATGAGTGACCTTGTCATAACAGGACATTAAGTTGGTTAAGCAGGACTTTCCCCTCATGAACCCATGCTGGCTATGACCAATGACTACATTCACTCTTAAGTGTTTTTCGGTAACTGGCAGGATAACCTTCTCCATAATTTTGCCAGGCACTGAATTGAGACTGACAGGCCTGTGATTACTTCCTTCTTACCCTTCTTGAAATTGGGACAACATTTGCCAGCTTCCAGTCGACTGGGACCTCTCCAGACTCCCAAGACCATTGAAAAATAATGGAGAGAGGTCCCTCAATGACATTGGCCAGCTTTTTCAGTACCCTGGGATGAATCCCATTGGGCCCCAGAGACTTCTGCACATCCAACTGGAGCAGCAAGTCTTGCACAAGTTCAGGGTCAGCTGGGAGTTTATCATAACCCCTCAGTCCGTGGGTCCCAGAGCCCGTTACTGGTGTTAGAGGCGGAGAAGGCATTAAATGTCTCCACTTTGTCTACATCCTTATTTGTGAGGTGACCGACCTCATCAAGCAATGGACCAATGTTATCTCTGATACTCCTTTTGCTGTTAACATACTTTATAAAGCCCTTTTTGTTGTCTGTCACAGTGCTAGCCACCTTGAACTAATCAAGTTTCAGCTGCACAAATTTTCTCCCTACAGTGGCGAACAGCATCTCTGTGGTCTTCTTGTGTCGCCTGTTATTGCTTCCAATGTCCATACATTTTCCTTTTCCCCCTAAGTTCTAGAATATGATCCCTGCTCAGCCAAGCCAGCCTTCTGCCCCACTTGCTTGACTTCGGACACTTTGGTATTGCCAGCTTCTGTGCTCCTAAGAGATGGCTTTTAAAAAGTGACCAGCGTTCACGGACCCCAATACCTTCAAAAGCAGATTTCCAGGGGACCTTACTAACTGGCTCCTTCAGCAGCCCAAAGTCTGTTCTCCCCGTGTGCAGGGTCGAAGTTTTGCTGGCAGTTTTTCTTCTATCACCAACAATTTGAAACTCAAATACTTTGTGGTTACTGTGACCAAGAGAGTCACCGATCAGCACTTTGCCCACGAGTCCCTCTCCGTTTCCAAACAAAAAAATCTAGGAGGGCACATTTCCTAGTTGGCTCCCTTAGTACCTACACCAAGAAGTTATCTTCAATGTGCTTCATATATTTCCTGGACCTGTTTGTGCCTACTGTATGATATTCCCGGTTGATGCTTGGGAAGTTAAAATCACTCATAAAGACAAGGGCAGTTGATCTGGAGGTATCCCTTAATTCCTTGTAGAACAATTCATCGGTGTCATTGTCCTGGCTGGGTGGTTGATAGTAGACTCCCACAACAACCACTTTATTTGCTTTCCCCTTCATCCTTACCCAGGGGATCTCAACTGTGTCATTGCCAACTGTAAGCACCATAGAATCCAACCCCACCCTTACATACAGCAGTACCCCCTGCCTTGCCTATCCCTCCGGAAGAGCCTATAACCGTCCATCACAGCACACCAGTCACAGGACTCATCCCACCAGGTTTTGCTTATGCCAATGATGTCGTAGCCCTGGGACTGAGCCGAAGTTTATAGCTCCTCTTGTTTATTCCTCGTGCCATGTGCATTAATATAGAGATGTTTCAAATGTGCTCTAGTGTACCCAGCACAGTATGTGTAAAGCAGACTGAAGGACCTCACTAGCACACCATCCCTCAAACATTGGCATGCTGCCCATAGTCTTATCTCTAGCAAACCTTGTTTTATCCCTTTCCCCCTTCAGATCTAGTTTAAAGGTCTTTTGATGAGCCCTGCTAACTCTTGCACAAAGATCCTTTTGCCTCTTTGAGACAGGTGTACCCTGTCTGTTGCCAGCTGGCCTGGTGTCATGTAGACTGTCTCATGATCAAAAAAACAAAAATCTGCTGGAGACACCAGGCTCAGAGCCAGGTATTGATCTGCTGGCTCTTTCTGTTTCTTCCCTCATCATTCCCTGCAACTGGAAAGATAGAGGAGAACACTACTTGTGCTCCTGATCCCTTAACCAGTCATCCCAAGGCCCTGAAGTCTCTCTTGATCTCCCTTGTACTTCTTATTGCAAGTTCATCACTGCCTACATGAAAAAGCAGGAACAGGTAATAATCTGAGGGCTGTACCACGGTCGGAAGTTTCCTCGTCACATCTTTAGCCCGGGCCCCAGGGAGGCAGCAGACTTCCCTAAGAAGTGGGTCTGGTCGGCATATCGGGCCTTCTGTTCCCCGCAGAAGAGAGTCTCCTATGACAATGACCCATCTTTTTTTCTTTATGGAAGCAGTTTTGATGCAGGGCGTAGGCCAACTTAACCTTGGCAATACCTCCAAGAGAGATGAACCATCGTCCTCGTCCTTGTTCGGTTCCACTTGCAGAGCCTCGTACCTATTGTGCAAGGGCACCTGGGAAGGTGGGGGAGTCATGGAGGAGACGCGCCTGCTGCACCAGGCAGGAGCTTGTGGCCATTGCCCCCTATCCCTTCAGTCACCGCCTTCTGCCGGGTGGGGAGAGGACAGGGAATCCTCCATACCTTGTGTCCTGTCTGCCTGACAGGTCTGTCCGAGGGATGGTAGGTGCAGTTCCAACAGTCTGTCTCCCTCTCAGACTCCCTGATACTCCTCAGCCTCCTCACCTCCTCCCACAGGTGTACTCACTACTGCTGTCCAGCGCTGGGGTAAGAGCAGGGCAGACGCTGCAGCCTGACACCCGGATGGCAGCACGTTCCCACCGGAGCTCTGCCTGGGAAGCGGCGTCAGTGGCGGCGGGTGCAGAGTTTAGAGAGGACGTGGCCTTCTGCCGGCTGGATACCGTTGCTCCCTGGTCGAGCCAGCAGAGCGACAGCGCCCTTCTTGCGCACCATCTGCCGCACCGCTCCTGGTCGGTAGCGCTCCCCAGGGGCTTCTTTTATAGGTGTGGGGGCTTGGCCACCATTGCTCCAGGTCCGTCCAGGTCTTGTCAGCTGCTGTCACGTGAGCTGTGGGCTCCTGGTGGGTCTCTCTGCTCTCCTGGGGTTCCCCCGGTTCAGGAAACCCCTCTGTGCACCGCTAGATAGCTCTGCTGCCAATCGTGCTGGCACCTGAGCTGTTTGTCTCAGTGATTTCAAAGTAATAATCATGTCATACTTATATCTCTCTGAGATTTCTTTTCATACACGTGTAATATTTAATGGTGACTTACGAACAGACAAAAGGAACACTGTGTTCCATGAGAAACATTTCCAATTCCTCACTAGTTAAAAATTAGCAGATGTCACATATTTAATTCTTAAATGATATATTTAAAGGAGACTAACATTAGAAAGTTTTAGGATTCAAAGAAGAAAGTGAGGGTCATGAAAAGAGTCTGTAAAGCCATTCAGCAGAAATGAACATGTGAGGGTTATGCCCTAAAACAAATCATAGTTTTATTCTTCATCTATTTAGACCTTGTTAATATATTCCTTGTACTTATAAGGCATTTCTTTTAAAGAGAAGGGCCCTGGATCTCTTTCCTTCTGTGATTTCATTCCATTTTTATTTAGGATTTTTTGGAAGCAATCTCCCAGATTACCAGAGATCAGAGATTATGATGTTCATTATGGGAAAAGTACCTGTTTTGGGGACAAATTCACAATCACTGGATACCAGTCACCTTGGGTTTGTATATTCTATGTTTTTTAATTTTTAATTAAAAACTTAGATTTTAGAATCCTGATAAATTAAGAAGTGAAAAACATTAAGAAAAGTGAAATGTAAATTCTCACTCATTAGGGGCTGTATTAAGTACTATGCAGAATCAAGACAAGCACAGCGTCAGTGGTATGAAATCAGTCTCCAAACACGTTACTGATAGAAAATGCCTGATTTGAATGCAGCTTACTTTGCACTAAAACATTTCTTCTCTCCACATCTGTACAAATGTTTTTGAAATTATCTACTTAATGGTGGTTAATTCCGTAACTTCTTATATGTCTGTTTTGTGAATGAGGGAAATCAAACTATGACTAAATTTTTTCAAATAGCTGCATAATTTACAAGTGGTTTTTGTTTTTTCTTCATTTTGTACAAGCTGACTTCAGATTAAGAAATAAACTGCAGAAATTCCAGTGAATTTGTTTTGGTTTAGATTTTCCCTATTTATTTAGAAATAGGAAAAAGCTATAGGTGGGCAGACTCCTGTAATAAACCCACAGTTAAAAAGCTGCCGTATGCTGGATTAATATTTTTCCCTGTAACATGAATAATTATGTTTAAAGACTGCTTTTCCTCAGTATGGGGAAAATCACTGAAAAGGTTGCAGCTATTCTTTCCAGGTATGTGTGGATACTTTGTACCACATATGTCTGATCCCCTGCTAGCTTAAGTAGGAAGTCATTGTTATTCTCCTGGCTTCTTGGTAGCTTTTCATATAGTATTGTGTCCCTGCAGCATGGGACACTATTCCATGGAAGATAGAAATCTATCTGTGTCAGGCAGTTATCACTCATTAAGAAGGTATTTGAAATATGAATCCATTTAGAATTCTGTACTTGGATTACCAGTTGGTGTGGGGTGTTTTTGTTTAACCATACAGTTTTCTTTTATGGGATTCTGTGTAAACATGGGGCTGAGTAGTATGTTAGTATGATGCACGTATGTCTTTCTGAATAAAGCAGGCTTTCTGACTGTTGGTACAGTCTTGCATTGCTTACCAGAAAATTTGGTCACTGTTACACAAGACATTTGAATGATACTGCCAACTGGATGTAGTCAGGTTTATAGCCCATGAAGGTGGAAGTTTCCACTGTTATGTACGGGTCAACTTTTATGAAGAGGCTTGCTCTTTCCTTACGCTATTTGGTGGACAAAAGGGTTTGTACCTTTTTTACTTTCTTGAAAGAGTGTATTTGAATGGAGCAATTTATTCCAAGTGCACCTTTGTAAGATCTTGCAAGAACAGTGCACATGTGACTATATACTAATAGGTATTTAACTTCTTTTAGTACCAGCAGATGGAATACGAGAACAGATGAAGAACAGGTTAAGTGGTGTTCCGTATAACTTCCTGTAATCTGAAAACAGAGGGTTTTGGGGTCTGACTTAAACAAGAAGTGTCCTGGTTTCTTAAAAGAGTCAATTACATTTTAATTCAGAAGAAATTCTGAGCGCTAATGCTTGTGAAAATTAAGTCAAGCGTGTAGCGGTTGAATATTTCAGATACAAAGAGATTTCTGAATGAAACGTGAAGATTTAGATCTGCTTCACATATTTCTTTTTTTTTTTTTTTTCAATTGTATGTGCTTTGCTTTTTAAGCCTGCCTATAAATGTCACTTTCGAAAACATTTAGTTACGACACCTCATTTGGAGATACTTGCCCCTTATTTGTGGTCATCCAGCATCCCTTCCAGTACTGCTGTATTCGCTTGTCAAAAATGCAGTGGTTAGAATGATGTCTGGAGTAGAATAATATTTTGAAGATATGCAAAGAAACTAATTTTCAACTTCTTTTCTTATTGTAGAGATTTGGGAACTAGGAGGATTCAAATCATGTTATTGAGATCTTTACTTATGGTAAGCCTTCTGTGTTCAGTATATTATGTTATAAGCACACGTTTCACTTTGTGTATATGTTTATACGTAGAAGTATAGTATTACAAGTGTAATTACAATTACAAAATTAAACATACCTCATATGAAATAACCATACTTAATGTTACTGTTACAAAACTACAGATCTCTAGTTCTACTGGGTAAAATTGTGACAGTGTTTTCCCAATTTACATTAGAAGCAGCTCAAGAAATACTCCTCCATCTCTTTAGAGCACTTCAGTGAATATCAGTTATAATTGGATCTGCAGATCCAAAAGAACATCGTAGAGCAGGTTGAGTTGACTAGTTCTGCCAGTGATGCTGGCAACATCAGTGTGAAATCACTTTTGTCTCTGACACCACAAAACCTGTAATTAGTAGAATGGCTGATATTTTTAAAACTGTAGTAGTGGATGCTTATCTCGAAGCCTTTAGAACCTCAGGCACCATTGTTCTTTCCTTCCTAGTATTTCCCACGTTTCTTGTAAGCTATGATTAAATGTTTTATCACAAATACATTTTTGAACTGTAAGCCTTCAGAGACTATTTCTGGAAATACATCCTGATGGTAAGAATCAGAAGTGGATAGTAAACGAGGCACTTTCCTGTAGAATCCTGGCCTGTGTTGTTGCAGAAGCTGAAAACTGTTTAGTGCCTGAAATAGGGGAGATAGCATAAAGAATGATTTCGTGACTAAAGCAGAAGAATGTCTTCCTGGAAAATGAGTTTCTATCCCTGCTTTGACATGAAATTTGCGTGTGGTGTTAGGCAAATCAGTTAAACTGTTCTTTGTTTGTCAGAATATGAAGTCCTAGATTCTGGCTTGCAGAAGACCTGAGCATTCACAGTTGCAATTTAAAGATAGAAAACACGTTAGAAAGGACTTCAGGTGGTCATTTTGTACTTTGTCTTCATTAAAGATAGACTCAGCTATGCCTAAACTGTTCAGTCTTAAAAATTGCCAATGAAGTCAGTAAGAATTGTTCTAATTATTTGGGGTGTTGCATAGCCTGTAAGTATGTGTTAAGCGATTGGAATTGTGTATGTGGAAGGAATTTAACATTTTTTACACTGAAGTTTGGTTTGGATCCTCTTTTAGAACATGGAAGTACAATCCCAACATGGCACAAAGATGTGAAAGTGAATGTTTTGATGCTTAATGAATTACTTAGACATTGATAAATATTGTGGAAAAAACGTGGGAAGGAATTTGTGTTCAGAGCAAAGCTTTTGTGGTATATAAGGTTTAGTCTGCACACATAATAAAGAACTAGAAACTACTGAACCCTGCCTGTTCTGTGTACTGAACTGAGCATTGTACATCATGTATTCTTTACAAAAAATAATACTTCATAACATAATTTGTCATCTTGTGCATACACACAGGCAGACAACTTAGTGTTGTATAGGCAATTAAAATCTGGCACTGCATTAAAAGTATACGCTTTTATTTGCAGCCTTACTGCTTGTAATATTAGTAACTTTCTGTTTTCAAAAAGATTGATTAGATACCTTCATGTACCTGCATGCTCCTCTGCCAACCAGTTTCCCTTCAACCTATTCAGTTATGCTGTGGAATAGTGCTTGCTCACATGTTGTGGTTTATCCCCAGCAGACAGCAGAGCATCACCTAGTCACTTGCTCATTCTTCCCCAGTGGGACTGGGGAGAGAATTGGTAAGGGTACAAATGAGAAAAGTGGGTTGAGATTAAGACAGTGTAGTAAGTAAAAAAAGAGGAAAACGTGATAAAAAATAGAAATGAACAAAAACCCCACCCAAACAAACCACAAAAAACCCCACCCAAAACCCAATTGCTCACCAGCCAGCCAGTCCCCAGGCAACAGCAGCCTTTGCAAACTGTCCCATTTTGTTGCTGAGCATGATGTCATATGGTCTAGGAATATCCCTTTGGTCAGTTGGGGTCAGCTGTCCCAGCTGTGTCCCCTCCCAACTTCTTGTGCACTCCCAGCCTACTCAGTGGCAGGGCAGTGTGAGAAGCAGAAAAGGTCATGACACTTTGTAAGCGCTGTTCAGCAACAACTAAAACATCCCTGTGCTATCAACACTGTTTTGGTCACAAATCCAAAACACAGCAGTGTGTGTGCTACTATTAAGAAAAATAACTATCCCAGCCAAATCCAGTACAACACAGTTCACGTGTAAAAGCTGTAATGGTATGCATAATGAAGATATAATTATTATGTAAAGCCTTAGATAAAAATATGAGTCCTTTTATTATAATTAAATCTTGGATAATTTTGCTCCCCTCATCCTCAACAGTTTATGCTTGTCAGTTTCTGGATCCTGTTTTGGTTTTGAGATTGTGATATTCTGGTAACCTGCATTTTAAGGGACAGTAAATTTTAAACATTTCTGACTGCTGTAAATGTTCAGCTGATTAATATTTAAATTGTCAGATAGCAGTTCACTTTTCCTTGTGTATCTACAGAGCTTGCTTTAAATAAAAGTAATCAAATGAGGCAAGTCAGAGGTAGTATTAAATAAACCCAGCATCATGGTACCAGATTTCTAAGGAAATGGTTTGCTGCTTGCTGGTTTTTTTTGCAATAAAGTAGTATCCATAAATGTTTAAGATGTACATATAGGCCCTGATTTCTCTTCTTTTCTTCACGTGAGCATACTCAGTACGAAATATGAGCATCTCGGAGCCTGAAATGGAAAAATCTCTATTGGCATTATTACCATCTTCATTTTATGCCCTGCAACTTTTCATAGACCATTTTTTAAAAAAATTTCATAAATGATACCTTTATTTTTCTTTTGGGTTTGTTGATAGAGGAAGGATCCTGAGAAATACCACTTTAAAACAGATGAGGAAGTTCATCGGAACATAAGTATTAAAGTCCTTCCTAATTCATAGTGAGGTTAGGAATTTTCAAAACTACTACAGTACTTCAGTTTGAATCCACCTTTCAGATGCTAAAGCAAGCCCACTAAAAATTGAGTGAGAGCTGCAAGTAATTCTTACAGTGCAATAATGACACACATTAATCTTACTTCCGACAATGAACAGGTGACTTCAGGATACAAAGCAACAACGATAACTAATGCACTTCCTCCCCCGTTTCTGGACCCGTTATTGTCTCCTTCGCTCATGGAAGACTCTGAGCTAAGGCAGCTGGTCTTGGAAATACTGCATAATCTCATTGATCGGCATGACAACAGAGCAAAGCTCAGAGGGATACGGTAGTTCTTTTTGTTTGCTTTGGCCTACTTGAAATTCTAGTTTAATATCTGAATGATCAATACTGTTGATTTTTAAATATTTTTCCTAATATGAAACATTAATGTACTGTTTTGATAAATGCACAGTGTTCAGTGTCATTTATTGATGGCAAGAGTTTTACAGGTAAGCTTCATCCTCTTCCCTTTCAACTTCTTTTTGCTAAAATGACATTTTTGTTTCCTTTTTAGAATAATACCAGATGTTTCTGATCTAAAGATAAAACGAGACAAAATTTCAAGGCAAGATGTGAGCTTCATGAAAAAGGTAATAGAATGAAAAATTTAACTTTTCTATCTAGAAAGAAGGTAAAGTAACTGAACCAGTTGCTTTTCTTCTAAAACTGTGTTTTTGCAACAAGTTACAAAGATCAGTATCAAGTGATTTTAATTCAAATTACAGTGGTTTCAGTGTTGAGGTGCTCTAGATACTTGAGAGGTGGTCCCATTGAATAAAATTTTCATTTATGTCTTCAGTGAAAACCCTTGCGTGCATGAAATTAGAATAGTGTATATCTAAACCATGATTCTGAAAAGACCTCCCTATAGTTAGATCCCTGTGCAGCATGCTCAGTAGTAGTTTTTTATTTGTATGGCTTTTATTTTGTTGCATTTTCAGATAATTTTTTATTTAAAAATCTTTTTTAAAAGCCTTGGTACAGGGACCTGTGTCTTATGTTTTAGGTAAAGATGTCAAAGAAAGTTAACTTTGAAGAAAAAAATGCACCTTCTTACAAGATTGCTTTTACAGGACATTGTGCTGGTTGACTTCTGAGTATGTTTGCTTCTAAAGAAAAGCATATGGCTTTTTTTAGGTGATGCTTACGTGGAGTGAAATTACTTCTTTACAATAAACACCTAATTTTCTATGTGGGGAAGAATGCAGATAGATAGTAGTGTGCTCTGTCATTCCTGATTATGGTTTATCTGTGTAGGTATGTTTGTAAACAAATAAGTACAAATTACTTGAAGTCATCTCAAGCAGGCTTTACAACATTTATCACTGTTATCTGCCTGAGAAAATATATTCATTTCTCACAGCTATCCCATGCTGCTTTGGTTTTGTTTCCTATTAACTGCGAAATAAAAATGTGTGTCTTCAGAGTGCTGACCTAATTTAATATTCTAATCATAAAAACTAGAAGAATTGCAGTTTAACTTGTCCAGAGGCAAAAATACTACATATGTAATAATATGCATACTAGAGTTGTGCAATTTTCAAGTAACATTGCAAGATAAATGTTCTTGCTAAGTTAATACAGTTGATATTCCTTGCAGTTTATTTACACCTGTTTTGATTAATACTGAAATAATACAAATATAAAGAATACTCCAACATTGGCCTTTATTAGTAATGTATCTTTGTAAAAATGAATTAAATTTTAATTCTTCAGTTTAATATCTAGGATTTAAAACAGTTTGGGTAAGTTGTATTTACTGATTTTGCTAGATGAAAATTTTAATTGTCAAACTAAATATTTGAATTGTTAACACTCTCATCTGAAAAAGAGGGCAGGATAGGAAAAGAGATTCTTATCAGGTCAAGAAAAGATTATACACTCTTGCAAAAAAAAAAAGCATTAACCCTGGGGAATGAAGTCATTCAATAATTATGTATGTGATACTGTTTCAGATGCATATCATAAATCTAATGTTACCTAGTGTAGATGTGTAAGTTAGCAGCCTACTCTTCCAAGAACCCTTGCATAATCAAACAAGAGGGGTGAAGCATCTCCAGAAGTCCATTAAGATCTGAATGACCATCTAGGCTTGTTTGATGTTAGATGGGGATCCTAAGGCAATTGTGTATCATACTTAGGATTCTCAGTACCTAAAATTAGGTGGAATTAAACCAGACATATATACAACACTCTTTTCATCCGAGTCCACTTTCTCAAAGCCAGGAGGTTTATTTCTTTCCTTTTTTTAAAGGGAAATATTGAACTTCTTGCATTTTGCAATCTTCTAGAAAGATATTATGTGTCAAGAAAATCCACATAATAATTTATTTTCATATCTAAGTGCAATTCTTTATCAGTGGGATGAATCATTTCGTTACTTTTGTTTTCCAAATATACTGTGTCTTTAAACAGGTAACCTTTAGCGTGCTTATTTCATAATAGCTTCTGTGCTTTGCTAATAGCTCTCTTCCACTCTTTTCTAAATAAAACATATATTTGAACAACTACATATTTGATCTTAGAAGTAATAAAAAGACCAACAACATCTTTATTATTTAAGTGATTATGTCCTGCTTCAAAAACAGATGTTAAAATGAGTTTTCTTTTTCCTTCTAAAATTGAACTAGTACTTCCATGAAGCATCAGTCCTTAGATCTTGAAAATTAACTGTGTCAACTGGTAAAGACCTGTATCCTCTACAGATTAAGAATGCTGGGGTGGTTGCATGCAGAACCTGCTTCTTATCCTGCCTTTCTGTGTTTTCATTTCTTTTTTTGTGTTGAGATAATAGTTTATTTACAAAAATTTGGTTAAGCACAGTGTTACGAGGAAAGTCACTTTCAAAGTTGAGGGTCTTTAATTAGATAACCTATGTTCTTCACTAGAGCTAGAGCCTCCCTATGCACATTGATAAATAAGTCCTACTCATCTCCTGAAACACCGTCTAGCAGAACTTTTTCTTGGTTTGCCATTCAAGGAACCTTGCTTAATGAACAACTTTTTGATGTCTTCACAAGGATAACCCTTGAAGCTCCTCAGTTACTTGAATGTTCTTGAGAATGTTTCAAGATCTACTTTTTGTTTTCTTCTTTTCATAAATTGGCAAATTTTTTTTTCTGAATAGGAAATGAATGCCAATGTCTGACACACAGTGCAGTATTCAAGTGCAATCCACTTTATCATCTTCCCTATCTGTACACTTCTACATAAAATAGAACAGTGCTGTATTGATAAAGAAGCTGTTGTTATAAAGTAGTAGTCTTCTTAATTAATCATGTACTTGTTTGTGTATGTGTATACATGTATTCTGTTTTTTAATTCTCTATCTAAAATGATCTAACATCAAAGTTGGCCCTGCTTGGAGTAGGGAGTTGGACTAGAGGACCTTTATATTATCATTTCTAACCTAAATTATTCTGTGATTTTAATACTCATTTTTCCTTTTTTATCTTTTATAGCACGGTCAGCAGTTGTACAGACACATCTACTTAGGCTGTAAAGAAGAAGACAATGTCCAAAAAAACTTTGAACTACTGTTTACATCTCTAGCTCTTACCACAATTGAACTAGCCAATGAAGAAGTGGTTATTGACCTCATTCGATTAGCTATTGCTTTGCAGGTATGAGTCTGAATCAGTCTTGGGTTCATTGATTGACAATTTGTATTTGTTATTGGAGATGTGGATAACTTTTTTGTTTTCATATTGATCTTAAAATTGGAAATCACATCATTCAGTCTGAATTTGATTGATCTATTAAGGAAGTGCACTTCGTACATACCACTTATTAATAGGGAAGCTTTAGCTCATCAGATTTGTTACAAACTTCTACAGCATGTTCTCTTTGGGAAATATAGCAGCTGTCGAAATTTGTTGAAACATTCCCTAGATTGACAGGGTGTTCTTAAAACCTGTGATCTTGCGTCAGTGTTCTGCATAAAATATATGGACTGTCCTCACCTTCAAAGAAAGCTTTTGGTTAATTGATTAGTTGGAAATATTTGTCAAACCAGTCTATTTAATCTTACCTTAGAGTAAAATTCTATCAGTGTGTTGACA